CCAGACATGGTTGGAGATGGTCTAAACCTAAAAAGCGTTGTGTTTTTAAATCACGAAAAATCAGGACGGTTTCCATTTAAAACGGTCGTCCTTTAAAACGAGCTTGCAAAAATTACGATCATTCCTTCTAAAAACTGTCATGTTTTAAAATGCGCTAGACAAGAATTTCACTTAAGTTTTAAATTTTCACGCGCAACTCTCTTCTTTAGTAGTCTCTCTCGCGACCTTTTCAGAAGCCCTCTCTTTCTCAACTCCCTTTCTCGTCCCTGAAACACCATCTCCATCGTGTCGTCTTGGTTACCAATCTCGCCATCCATGTCACAGATCTCGACGTCGAGTTCACTGAGGTCGTCATATCCCTTGTGTCCAGGTCACTGAGGTCGCCATCTTCACGAGGGCACATCCATGATCTTCGCAATCTCCTTCAAGGGGCCTCTCTCTAGCCCACTAGTCTCTTCTCCTCCAAGCTTCCCCTTCTCTTCGTCGACCTGTTCTTTGTTAAATTTGAGGTTTCGTTTTGGTCTTTATCTGACTTTTGCTTGGGCGATTTCAGAGATCTGCAGGCGACGCTTATCGGTGGTGGTTATAGGTTGGATCATCGTGGCGTGATAACGATTCTGTTAGCCGTCGTGATTGGGTCCAAGTCTGGCGACATCTAGTTGTGAGTGTATATGTGCTTCTGCTTAGGTTTTATACAAAATCTGTTGATATTTTCCTTTCCCCCTTTCTGCTGGTGTTGATTGAGATTTTTGTTTTGTTTTGTTTTGTTTTGTTTTTATGTCTAAAGATGTAGCAATGTGACTTTCTTTGAGGCTGGCTGACACTAACTCATAATCGGGTTTATCGAAGTCATGTCTTGAGTTGAATGGATTTTGTTCTTTCTTTGTCCTTAACTTTTCGTTTGCTTGGAATAAGACTGTGTGCTGTAAAATTTTGAATTCATCTTACTATGTTATTATACATGAAATTATATTTAGTCACAACACAAGCTTTCTCATTGCTGTGTATGAAAGAAATTTATTTTGTTTTTAATCCTTATATTTGCTTCTGATATAAGAGTGAATATCTAATCCAACATAATGATTTCCCCTCATTTTTCCAGTTACCAAATGAAGGTATTAGTTTGGCAAAGCAACGCTCTTGTAGTTAACTTATATTTTTATTTTGGATGTTATAGAAGCTTGGAGTAGTTGTGAAGCCAATTGAGAAACTAAGGTTCATATTGAAGTTCATTTGGATGGAAAAGAAACCAAGCTTGGAGTAGTTTTTTTTTATTTTCTTTTCCTTCTCTTTAGTGTTGATGGCCTTGAATGAAGTTCTGTTTAATGTTTGACACATCTCCAATTGCAGGCTTTAAATACTCTTTGGGTGGGACATCACGAAATTGCAGGTATAACTTCTTTGAAGTATTGCATTTTCTTCTTTTTGTCTTGCGGGATTGCTTCTCTCTCTCTCTCTCTCTCCCATCACCTCTTCGCTGATTTACTGATTGCTTATACCTTGTGTATTTGTTTTAACCCATAAGTCCTTATGCATTTGAATTATTCTTCAGTTTTTTTTAACGTCAATTATGGTTTTTCACTTGAGAGCAAAACTTGCTGGTCTTGACAACCCTTGGCGGGGTGTGTCGTAGGTTCTTGGCGGGGTAGTC